TCTGCAAACTAAACAAGCCTAAATCCCTCAGTCTCTCCTCATAGGTCATGTGCTCCAGCCCCCTTATTTTGGTTGCCCTCCGCTGGACCCTCTCCAATGCATCCACATCCTTTCTATAGCGGGAGGCCCAGAACTAGACACAATACTCCAGATGTGGCCTCACCAGAGCCGAATAAAGGGGAATAATCACTTTCCTAGTTCTATTGGCAATGCTCCTCCTAATGCACCCTAATATGCCATTAGCCCTCTTGGCTACAAGGGCACCCTGCTGACTCATATCCAGCTTCTCATCCACTGTAACCCCCAGGTCCTCTTCTGCAGAACTGCTACTTAGCCAGTCGCTCCCCAGCCTGTAACAACGCTTGGGATTCTTCCGTCCCAAGTGCAGGACTCTGCACTTGTCCTTTTTGAACCTCATCAGATTTCTTGTGGCCCAATCCTCTAATCTGTCCAGGTCACTCTGGACCCTATCTCTGCCCTCAAGTGTATCTACCTCTCCCTCTAGCTTAGCGTCATCCGTAAACTTGCTGCGGGTGCAATCCATCCCCTCATCCAGGTCATTAATAAAGAGGTTGAACAAAACCGGTCCTAAAACAGATCCTTGGGGCACTCCACTAGAAACCGACTGCAAACCTGACATTGAGCCATTGATCACTACCCATTGGGCCCGACCATCTAGCCAGCTTTCTATCTTACCATCCATTTATCCAATCCACACTCCCTTAACTTGCTGGCAAAAATATTGTGGGAGACTGTATCAAAAGCTTTGCTAAAGTCAAGATATATCACATCCACTGACTTTCCCACATCCACAGAGCCAGTTACCTCATCATAGACGCTAATCAGATTGGTCAGGCAGGACTTGCCCTTCGTGAATCCATGTTGACTATTCCTGATCACTTTCCCCTCTTCCAAGTGCTTCAAAATGGATTCCTTGAGGATCCCCTCCATGATTTTTCCGGGGACTGAGGTAAGGCTGGCTGGTCTGTAGTTCCCTGGATCGTCGTCCTTCCCTTTTTTAAAGATGGGCACTACATTTGCCCGGGATCTCTCCCGATCGCCACAAGTTTTCAAAGATAATGACCAAAGACTCCGCAATGACATTTGTCAACTCCCTCAGTTCCCTCAGGTGCATTAAATCCAGGCCCATGGATTTGCGTATGTTTAGGCTTTTCTAAATAGTTCCTAACCTGTTCTTTCCCCATCAAGGGCTGTCCACCTCCTTCCCATACTGCGTTGCCTAGCGCATTAGTCTGGGAGCTGACCTTGTCCGTGAATACAGAGGCAAAGAAAGCATTGAGTACTTCAGCTTTCCCCACATCATCTGTCACTAGGTTACCTCCTCATCCAGTAAGGGCTCCACACCCTCTGATCATCCTCTTATTGCTAACATGCCTGTAGAAACCTTTGTTACCCATCACATCCCTTGCCAGCTGCAATTCTAATTGCACTTTCACCTTCCTGATAACTCCCCTGCATTACCCAGCAATATATTTATACTCCTCCCTAGTCTTCTGTCCAAGTTTCCATTTCTTGTAAGCTTCCTTTTTGTGTTTAAGCTCACCAAGGATTTCCCCGGTAAGCTAATCTGGTCGCCTACCATATTTGCTCTTCTTGCTGCACATCGGGCTGGTTTCTTCCTGTGCCTTTAATAAAGCTTCTTTAAAATACTGCCAGCTCTCCTGGACTCCTTTCCCCTTCATGTTAGTATCCCAGGGAATCCTGCCCATCAGGTCTCTGAGGGAGTCAAAATCTGCTTTTCTGAAGTCCAGGGTGTGTATTTTGCTACGCTCCTTTCTTCCTTTGGGCAGGATCCTGAAATCTACCACCTCGTGATCACTGCTTCCCAGGTTGTCACCCACCTCTACTTCCCTTATTATCTCCTCCTTGTTTGTGAGCAGCAGGTCAAGCCGTGCATGGCCCCTGGTCAGTTCCTTCCGCACTTGTACCAAGAAGTTATCCCCAACATTCACAAAAAACCTCCTGGATTGTCCGTGCACTGCTGCATTGGTCTCTCAACAGATGTCAGGGGGATTAAAGTCCCCCATGATAGCCAGGGCCTGCGATCTGGAAGCATCTCTCAGTTGTCTGAAGAAAGCCTCCTCTACCATGGCCACTCCACCCACCATGCTCCCACACACAGCAGGGACCAGCCTGCACCGAGCCCCTCCACCGATGAGGCTCCCAGCCCCAGGTGAAGGCAACCCAGCCCCAACCTCCCTCTACCAGCAGCAGAGCACTCTCCATCTCCTTAGCCAGAGCAGCTCAGGGTCTCCCTCATTGCCCTGAAAGTCCTGCTTCAGGGCAGCCCCTGCCTCGTTCTCAGAACAGCTCCAACAGAAGGCATGGGGTGGGGGGAGGTTCTGCCAGGCCCCAGTGACTTCCTCCCCTTGCACAAAGCTCGGTTTGTAATGTTTCCACGGAGCAGGCATAGGTTGAAGGAGCAGCCGGACGGGGCTCCCCCCTCCCGCTTTGGAACGTGTTCAGGGGTTTTTAATAACATCTCAGCTCCGCCCAAACAGGGAAATAGTTTAATAGGAGTTAGGGTTAGAACTCAGGGGCTCTGCGCTCCCACTGCCACGATCAGAGACCACACGCAGAACAACGACCAGTTCCAAGCATCCTCAGCTGATGCTGCTCCCCCAGCTCGGGCAGCGGCTAAGCCCAGCCATCCAATGCTCAGCGCAGTACTTCATGCTAGAGCCAAGGAAGCACGGGAGGGAGGCGGACTCTACTACACGTGGCTCAGACCGACGGCAAGGACAGGTCCGTTCCGAGCTGGGGGGGCAAGGCGGGAGGCCCCGCAGTTCCACCGTCCCCAAGGAAGTCGGCGAAATGGAGCCAGGCTCAACGCTCTTGCTGTGCGCGCCGACTCTGGGGGATCTCCTCCTCACCGGGCTCCGAGTCAGAGGCCGCCAGCAGCTCCCGGGGCCCCGGCGCGAGGTGGAACACAACGGGCGTCTGGCTCAGAATAGGATTGTTCTGCTGCAGGCCCAAAATCCACTTGGCCAAAGTGGCCTGATCTCCTGCCCCAGCCATGCACATGGCAAAGATGGGGCCTTCCTCCGCTGCAGGGAACAGGACAGAGAACCGAAGCAGTGTCAATAGGAACAAACCCCACAGTACAACGCAGCAGAGTCCAGGAGTCAGAGCAGGGTGACTGGAAATCAGGACTCCAGGTCCTACTCTCACTTCTGCCCCTTCCTCCACAAGAAAACGGTGTCAAGCCACCATACCATAAGCCTCTGCCCTCCAGGGGGAGGGGCCTGTCTATTAAGGACTGCAGGTACCTGGTGCGAAGCCCATGCACACGGGAACTGTTTTTCACCCAGTGTGGAAAATGCAGCCACCTCTGGGGCAGAACACCACAGCTGCAACACATCTGTCTAGAACAGAAGGGACCATCGTATCCCACTGCAGAGGAGTTCAGGTAGGGAAGAAAAGTACTGATATATGTAACCTGAACGCTTGCTTGCTTGCGGGATGACATACAGAGACGAGAGGGGGAAGATGATCGCTTCTGTTATCCTGAGCTTGGTCTAAACTGTGCCAGGGGCTAATTACTGCAGCGGTTACAGACATGTCTCAGCAGCTCTAGGTTACGATTGGGACTTTATTGGGCAGCTGATCTGGGCTGAATTTGAATTGGCCAAATACACCAAAATCTGACCAAGCATTGAAAGCTTACACCCAAGGGGCATGGCTTGGCGTTCAGAAGCAGTAAGCTGAGGGCAAAGGAGCAGGGAGATACCAGTTAGCTTAAGGGACAGTCTCCCAAGGGAGGGATCCATTTCTGGGGCCTGTTTCTCTTTCCTTGCCTGCTGCCCTGGCTCTCCCGTTGCTCGACTGTCCCAGTAGATTTGATTTGCTCTAAGTGCACATCTACCCCCGCGGCTGCCCCCGCACCAGTTACCTTCATCCACGTCAAATTCTTCATCATCCCAGGGGCCCCGATCTAGATCCAGATCCAGGTGCATGGGGTAGTAGAAGTTCCTCTCGGAGTCGAGCATCTCTCCCTAAGGAGGAAGGGGGAAAGATTTCTATGGGGGAATTAACGCTCCCTGCCCCCTCTAACCTACCCAATGGGTACCCAGCACCTCTGAGCCACGTGCACCTCTCTGCCCTCCTTGGGCATGACAAGGCTGCTCCTTCAGGCACTCAGCCACTAGCCAGGCTAGGAACAAGCTGAGACCCGGCAAGCTCAGTGCGCACGGGCCAATCAACGGCCATCGGGTGGTGGGGATTATAGGGCTCCCCCCAGTAGGGTGGAATGGAACTGGCGGCCCCCTAAAGGGGGGAAAAGGCCTCGTATTCAGGTCTCTGATTCCCCTGATTCTGCCAGCCTCCCCACATCCCATTCTCCACACCCCCTTAGCCAGCCTCCCCCCACAAGACGTTTTGTCCTTCTCCAATTGGGATGTGAATGGGCCAGCCCCATGGGAGGCCTGCTGTGGACAGGGGCTCTGGGGAGGGGGGCCAGGTGCCCCACAGGCAGGGGGGCTCCCCCCGCGAGGCGCCCCCAATCAGATGAAACAACATGTTTCACCAATTTGACGGGATTTTTCATCCCCAGTCTCCAAACCAGCACTCGCTCTGTGGAATTTGCAATCCAGGGAAACTGCCTGGAAATACCGGCCCCCCCAGAGCCCCCCGCTGGCAGCACACTGCTGACTGCCTTGCAGGGAGGCGAGGCCGTTCGTTACCTTTTCTCCAGGAGGTAACAGCTCTCCCCGGAGCACGTAGTAATAAACACACGTCTTCTTCAGCCACAAGGGGAAGGGGCCCTCCACAAACACGGGCCTGTCGGGATTGTGGTGAGCTAGGAGCTCCTGCTGATCGGGGCTCTGGATTCCTAGAGGGAGGGGAAGTCACACACCAAACTGGGGAACGCCGGCACCCAGCTGCCAGGCTGCGACGCCTGCCTAGGACCTGGGGGTCTGCTCAACGCACCGGACACCCCAGCTGCAAGGCAGGGATGCGATGCTCTGCGTGTCAGCGTCTCTAAGGACGCTGGGCTCCTCGGAGCCAGGGCAGGGTTGTTACTTAGAGAGGGAGGAAGGGGAAGCTATGAAGAGGAGCGCTCGGGCAGCCACCTAGGAGGGATTCAGAGGCCCCCCCAGCTGATGAACAGAGCACCCGCAGCTGGCAGCCTGTGTTTCCATGGGTGGTGCACACCTGCACATGCCTTGGTGCACACATTTATTCTGCACATGGATGGGAAAAATTAGAGGGAACATTACTAGGGATGTGATTGGCCACATGGTTCCAGTCAACGTTCCACCAGTAACCGATCACATGGGATTTTACAACCCTAAACATTACACAAGAGACCTCCCCATTCTCTCCCTCCCCCCTCCCGTTCTCTGGGTCTGGCTAGGGTGGCCCAGGGCTTAGCCCCAGCTCACAGCTGGTAGGACAGGGTGCTGTTCAGTCCTGGCTAAGGTCCCAAAGGCGACAGACACAGGAGATAGAGGTTCTTCCCTCCCCAGTCATCCAGTACCGGCCAGCCAGAGGCAAGTGTGGCTGCAGCATCCCGTACCTACAATGTGCGGCTGGGTGATTTCTTTTCCGGAATCCAAAATGTCAGTCAGAGGCATCTGTGGGAGTGAAGGTATAAACAGCATCCTTCACGTATATCGGATCCCCACCACACTCCCCAGTTCAGGACAGCCCTGCAGGCTAGAACCCAGGAGGCCCAGCCCCCATGGCCCGGCTGGGGGTGGAAGAATACACTCCATGGGGCAGAGAACAGGCTGGGGGTGTTCCCTGCATCTGGCCTGTGCTGGCTGGATGCAGGCAGAGAAAGGGGTCGCTCCAGCTGACCAGAGCTAGCTTTGCTTCCAGCTCTTTCCGGGACTCCGCCTCTACGCGGCAGGAGGCCCTGGCATATCGAAGCTCACCCCACCGTGCTCCGCCCCCCAGCGTGCAGGGTCAGTGGCTCCCATGGAACAGGCTGGGGGTGTTCCCTGCATCTGGCCTGTGCTGGCTGGATGCAGGCAGAGAAAGGGGTCGCTCCAGCTGACCAGAGCTAGCTTTGCTTCCAGCTCTTTCCGGGACTCCGCCTCTACGCGGCAGGAGGCCCTGGCATATCGAAGCTCACCCCACCGTGCTCCGCCCCCCAGCGTGCAGGGTCAGTGGCTCCCATGGCTACCGGCAGCGCCCTACAGCCGAGCTCCTGTCATTTGTTACCTGATAGACCGTGACCTTGGCACTCAAGTCTGCAGCGATCCTCTGCAGGCTGATCCTCGCCAGGTCGATGGGCTCTTGGGGGAGGGGCACCGGGACCGGGTAGGGGTTGACGTGCTTAAACCGCTGGTACTTGCGGACGGGGTGGCTCTTCGCGCCAAAGATCTGCAGCAGCAGGAACTTCGTCTGGTTGTCGGGCATGATGCCTGCGTACGTTGGGAGGGAGACGAGGTGGAGATGGCACATTCACCCGCCCTCGCCACGGAGTAGGGATGCACACGGGCGACCCTCTCTCCCCTCCATGCAAGGCTGCTGACACCAAGCCCATGAGGGCTCGTGACCTGGGAGTCAGCAGGTTTGCATCGGGCAGGGGCAGGGGGAGAGAGGAGGGCTGCTGGCAGGCTGGGAGCCAGCAGCCACCTTCCTCTCCCCT